TATCCCTTTTCTCTTTCTTTCTTTCTTTCTTTTCTTTTTCTTTTTTTGGTGCTGGGATTAGAATCCAGGTCCTTGCCCAGCCCAGCAAGCGCTCAACTCTGAGCTACATCCCCAGCTCCACTTTCTCCAGTTCTTGTGTGACTATTTAGCATCTCCAGCGCTGGTCCAGGCTCTCCGGGTGACCCCCACCTCTCTGGCCTGCTGGGGGACAGTTTGCTTTGGCGCTATGGCCAGAGTTTAAACGTTGCTGCCACGATCAGGGTTCATCAGGGTCCGTGTGTGGTTGGGGCGGGTTCAGAGGGCAATGCTCCCTTCCCAACAGAATTCAGGGAGTGGCCCAGAGTGTCAAGGAGACCAATGTGACACCTGCAGAGGCTCTTAAGCCCCAGAAATGCATGCTGCATCCTGGCCAGGCAAAAGCCCCTGAAGGAGACACTGACTTCTCTGAGAGACTAGAGGAACCAACAATCCAACTGCACAAGATGGAATCGCAAAGCAGGGTATGGACTGAGAGCTATCCCCTTCTCCTCACCCCTTCAGATCCAAGAGAGGTCTCTGATGATGGGAGAGAAGGAGATCTCTCCAGCTACTTCTGGACCAAGGAACCTGCCCAGCAGCCTATGGCGAGAAAGGCAAGCCACCTTGCCCAAGGCCTGAGTATCTGTTGGGCCGCTGTCTTCCCGATGTCGGCTCAGGAATGCTACCCCAGGCCTGCAGAGCAACCCACAGGACAAGGCCACAGAAGAGCCTTTCTCTGCTTTCTAATCCATAATGGTCCCCTCCGAGCTGCCTCAGGGCAGGGATGCCCCAGCATTCTCGACCCATCCTGCTACTCTGGCCACTTCACCGCTGGTCCTTGTCACCAAGTTCCAAAGGCTCCCTTGTACTCAGAGACTGAACTGTGTTTTTAAGTTGCAAATTGGGGCCATTTTATCTTCTTTTGTTACCACACAACCATTAATGACACATAGTGCCTGCCCGAGCCATCAGCATCTCTAGTGAAAGTTGGCTTCCCTGTCCTCCATCCAGCCACAAACCTGGTGAGACATTGTAAATAAGTTCCTAGGCAGGACCAGGTATGGGGGAGTAGCCAGGAGGGCCAAGGCATCTTTCCACACAACGATGGGCACGCTGGAGTTACCAGGAATACATGAAGGTGGTCAATAACCAGGGCCGCCAGCTCCCTACCACCCACAAGGGGCCAGCAACTGTTGGGTCCACACTGCTCAGTTCTTCAGGTGGGGCTGGGGGCAATGACACTGGGGAACTGTAGGCAGAGGCCAGGTTTCTTAGGGAGGGGCCTAGGAGGGACAAAAACTGAGCCAGAGTCCCTGGAAGGCCTCTTCCCCTCCCCCAGTTCTCTTAATCTTTAACTGCTTCGAGGCTAACCCTGACCCCTGAAACAAACAGGGCCGGCTCTTCCCAGTTCTAGGCACCTCCCTTGGGAAAGGGGCTGGAAAGGGACCTCTTAGAGAGGGCTGGAGGGGGGAGGGACCACGTGGAGCTGAAACAGGATAGGATACCCTCACAGGTGCTGGAGGGCACAGCTAACTTTACCCTGTTTTCTTGGTTGAGAGTGTTATCCAAGAGTGACCAGTGGCCAGCAGGCATAAGTGGGACAAGGTGGACTTAGGACCCTGACTGGAGTCTGAAAGCCAAGAAGACTGGTCCTAGTAGGGGCGGCTCCAACTTCAGTCAGAGGATATCGTGGTCCCTGGAGTATGCAGGGGAGGGGGCTTCCTCTAAAAATCCGCTGGGCTATTGTTGCACTTTCCCAAACCATGGAAGATTTCCAGGAGGCAGTGACAAGCCCAAATAATAATAACGCCCCTCCCCCAGCAGCAGGAATTCTGGAAAAAAACAGCTGCTGCCGTTATCGCCCCAGGAAAAAACAAGGTCAGGTGCTGCAAAGATTTAATTTAAGGTGCGCCCCCGCGGCCTGCGGGCCACGCACCAGCACGCACGCGTCCTTCGAGCGCGGGGGTCGAAGCCTGTGGGAACCCGGGGGCACCCGTCTGTCTCTGCAGCCACCGAGAGTAGGGCACACCAGACCAAGCTCCAGACGTCTCAGCAGGGAGTCTGGGGCCGGCCCACAGTCGCCTGGGGCCGTGAGCGGACCTCACTCCGGCTGCTTGCTGCCCCCGAGCTTCTGGGGGGCTAAATCAGTCGCCAACAAAGCACACTGAAATGAGGGGCTCTGTCAGGAGAGCACAGCCCGACCTTAATCAGAAGTGACGGCGGAGTGGGCCGCGGGGGCTGGCAGGCCAGGTCGGCTGGAGCCCAAAGACCCTTGTCCTTGTCGGCTGAGGCTGGCAGGGCTGGCTCCGGGAGCAGAGGAGGGGGCTGGAGAGCTCCTCGAGCCGCCGCCCAGTCCCCACCGGTCACACTAGGCTGTAGGTGGAGAGAGCTCAGGTGGGGATACACAGAGCGGCTGGGGCCGGCTCTGGGCAGGCAGCCTGCAGAGAGAGCCTTGGCGGTGGCCTTGGGTGTGGAGGACAGACGTTCCACGTCCCGCAACAGTCGAGAGGAGACTCCCTAGGACGGTGAGCGCGGTGCGGCTAAAGAGCGCGCTTCCTCGGCGCTCTGCGCCAGCCTGGGGAAGCCGTGAAGTCACCAAGGTGGACAGAGGCTTCAGGTCCTGAGTACCCGGAGATTCCCCGGCCTGTGTCCATATTCTCAACTACACCGCGTGTGCCTGACTCTCCAGGCCGCCCAGGCACCGCCGGGGTCGCCTATCTCCCAGGCAGAAACCAACCAACACCAACGATTCCCTATTTCCCAAACTGTGGAATAAAAGCAGGGGTTAGGAGGAAGACGGAGGGGGAGGGGACAGGGTCGAACCCGTTGGTTTTTTACTTTAAAATTATATATTTTATGTCACAATCACTTTTCGTTAAGACCACAAACATCCAATTTGGCTCGGCGTAATAAAATCAGCCGGAGCTCCCTTAAACGGAGCCATTGCGGAGAATTAAGTTGTGAAATCTAATCTATTATATCCATAAAGGAGAATGCTTTCATTGTAAATTCAGGTTATAAAGAAACTATACCTGGGCCGCCAGCCTCCCTTTCGGATTTGCGACTTGAAGCCTTATCAAATTACTTCGAAATGCTGGGCTCCCCCTCTCTATCTCATGGCAACCAAAATTAAATGTGGCAACATTTCTTTAATACCTAAGGTCGGAAACAACCGCTTCAACAAAGATATAATTTTTAAGACACCTCTATTCGCGTTGGGAGGCACCCTACTTCCCCAATTATCTCAAGTTTTTAAAAACTCTAAACGTACGAAGACTCCTTAAATTCTCTCCTGCTCCGATGGAGGGCTCTGGGGTGCAATCCCGGGTGGACCGCACAGCATCTGCAGCGCGGGGAGCTGCTGGCACTGCACACCTGCGGGGCTGGGACCGGTGCCTCGGAGCCAGGCTTCCGCGCCCCAACCCCAGGCACCCCGCTGGTTCCAGGGACGGCCGGACCAAACAAAGGAGTCGCCAACGAGGGGTTAAGCCGCCCCTCACTCTTCTCAGAATACACTTCCAGAAGCTGGAGCAAGGAAACGTGGCACCCTAAAATTCCTTTTACAAACCGGGTGGGGGTATTTGCTGCCCTTCCCGGGAGGGGGTTGGGCCCAGGCTGCTCCCTCCCCTCGACATCTTCTATTTCTGAAAATTAATTAACTCCGGGCTTGGGCTGGGGCGTCCTAGGCTGGCCAGAAGTGTGTGTGTGTGGGGGGGGGGGGAATCACCAAGGACTCTCCGTCCTCGATCTCAAAGAGGGATGTTTGGGGGACGTCGAAGAGATCGATAAGTTTCTGGGTTCCCAGGGAACTGGCGGACGTGGCTTTTGTCAGGCCTGCGAAAAAGATTTATGAGGCGCCGGCGGAGTGTTGGGCCGACTTCGCCCCGGCGGCCAGCGCACCCCGTCTAATCTTTGATTTCCATCTGATTATTTTTTCCCTGCCACCTTCAACTCAGTGTCCGGAGAGCCGAACAAAGGGATGCGGATGGGGGATGGGAAGGAAGGCAGCGGTGGTTGGGGGATCCCTCCCATCAGGTTGGAACCCCCAGAACGCCCAAGGTTCGTGCTTCTGCGAGCGTTTTGGGAGGCGGAGGGAGGAAGGGTGACCGGACAGGAGCTGAGACAGTGGGAGACTCGTCGCAGGGCCTGGGCGGGCGCTGCAGTCCTCGGAAGGAGCAGGGAGCCCGAGCCCAGCCGCGTTTCTAAGGAAGGATCTGCAGAAATGCCCTAGTTGCGCGAGAAACGGTGGGAGCAGCTTTCCCCTAAATTGCAATTAATCGGGGAGTTGGGGGCGGGGAATGTCAGCCCTTGGTGGAGGCCGCATAGGAAGGATTTTTTTATCCCTCCCCGCCCCCGCCCAGAAAAAAGATCCGCACAGGCGGATGAAGGGCGAAACTTGAATTTTTCATGTTGGCGAGGAAAAAAAAAATCCGAAATGGAAAATGATTTTATTGGTCACTACCCATAAGTCAACTAAAAACAGGAATAATTAGAGAGTGGGGAATTCGGGGGGCCATAAATCCGCGGCGCCTTCTCCATCGGCGTCGGGAGGCTTTATGGCTTGTTGAGTTTTATTTTGAGAGAAACGAAGCCAGAGTTTTGGTGGAAGCGGGACTACCCGCCGAGCGCCGCTCCTGCGCGCGCAATGAAAACGCCCGGGTCTTTGGAAGGTGGCCACAGTTAGGGCTCGCTTTGTCCCAGAAAGAGGGGGCCTTTCCCGACGCCGGGACCCTTCTCTCCACGGCGGAATCGGTGCCCAACCCGCCTCTGGGCAGGGGAGTCACCCAAACCGCGACGAGGGCAGACACTAGGTGTGCCTGGGGTCCCGGAGGTTTTATAACGAGATTCATTCCACTCGCGGCTTCCAAACGTCCACTCGGGCCTGCACGCTTGACCTTTTGTTCTAATTTACAGGGAGGAGGGGGATAGAACAAAAAAACAAAACAGATAACACACAACACAAAGACAAAAACCCACCTTACTTTGCAATCTTCTACAAAGCGGCTGGGAGTCGGCTGGGCGTCCTTTTCATTCCATAGGGGTTTCTACCCCGCCGGCCTGAGGCCCATTTCCTCCTCTGGAACGGTCTGCTCCTGAAGCCACCCTTAGCAGACCGTGTAAAATCCCATTATCAGGTAAGACACTGGGGACACTTCGGACTCAGCGGCGGCTAATTTGGGGAGAAAAGAAAGTGAATTCTTCAGGAACTCCGGAATAAAAGCGCCCCTTTCCCTGCTACGCGCGCCCTTTGTTTTAAACACACATTACAAAACCCTTGTCCTTCCAAGGAGCGGGGGCGGGGAGAAACGCGCGTCCACAGCGAGCAGCACTCGCCCCCTAAAATACTATTCTCCGAGGAGCTCTTTTGTTTGAAGTGGGTATGGGGGAGGGGTCGGGGTCGCTCCAGGCCCGCTACCAGGCTCTTCTGACCCGGGGTGGGGGGGGGGGGGAGAAAAATAAAACAAAACCCCAACCTCTCCCAAACAAATAAACAACCAAACAAAAAACCAGTTCAGGCGGTGTCTCCTAACCGCGCAAATCTGAGGTTCCCGGGTCCAAGGAGGGGTTAGTTTCTGGACACCCACCCGCTCAGCAGCAGCCAAAGCCGGGTCTTCCTACTGCGAGTTCCCTCCAAGTGAGGCCCCTAAACCTCCAAAGTAAAACACCCCGGATCTGAAAACGAAAATCCCGGCCGGGTGCGGAGGGGGATAACCGTTAAGATGACCAGGAAACAGCCATCGTGCTGGGGTACCCACGGTGTCCTGGGTGAATTCCGTGGGACTCGGAGGAAAGCGACGCGTGTTCCCACCTGGGCTGCCTCCAAGCCCGGCGGTGCGGACGGTGGAGACCCCGGTGGGGGTTCCAGAACACCGCGCAGGGGCTACCCCAAGTTTCCGATGCCGTCCCAGGACCCCCTCAGAAAGACACGTTTGCTGCGAAAATCTAGTCCACACCAGCTAGGTTTTTATTCGTCCCTCCCCAGAGAAGGCTCTGGGCGCGCGGGAAAGGAAAACGCACGTACCTGGCGGCGCTCCGGGGGCGACCTCGCGGGTCCCTAGGTAGGCTAGAGAGCCCCCCAGAAGCCACTCCCCGCCCGGATGGTCGCCCCAAGGCCTGTCCCTCCCTCCCGGGCCACGCACAGCGCCGAGCTAATTCTCCAGAAAGCAAGAGCTAAACACTCGGCCAGTCTTTCCGGGAGCAGGATCCATTTTCTAGCGCCAAGGCCAGCGCCAACTCTCGGGACGCCATCCGCGCGCAGGGTTCCCCGTGGTCCTTCCTCCGGATCAGGAGAGAGTGGCGCGGCCTAGACGCAGGGCTGCGGTTCGTGCTGCAGCTCCAGGCTCCCGCGCGCCCTTCTGCATGCAGGCTCCTGTGTGTCCACGTTCCCAACCGCGAGACCGGGACGAACTCCAAGGCCTCCGGGAAGAGGAGGCCGCGGTCCAGGCAGAAGCCCCGGGGCGGGAGGGGTACAGGGCGGAGGGGCGGGAGAGCTACCAGCGCCCCGCGGCCACGGCCCTCGGGGGGCGCCCAGCCCCACCCACGTGGAGGCCCCCGCCCCGCCTCCGCGAGGGCAGGATCCCCGCCCGCCCCTGCGCTCCCGCCTAGCTCCGCCCAATCGCCTCCCGCAGCGGCCGCTCCCTTTGTCTGGGCAGCCGGTGCAAACCAATGGCATCGCGTGGGCGGTGCACATCTTGGCCAATAGGTGATCTAGGAGGCGTGGCCGAAGGAGAGGCTTTACCGGGAGAAGAGGCTGCAAACCCGCAAGCTGCAGAACCGGGGCTCTGGGGCCCGCAGGTATCTGCAGATTCGAGCTGGGTCAGCCATGGAATTTGAGTTTAGAATCGCTTTCCGCTACGCGGAAGATGCCCCAAAGTCGGGAAGGAAGTGTGAGGGGATGATGATGTCCGACCTGTGGAGAGCAGGAAGGTGGTTTAGACGGATTCAGTCCCGAAGCCCCAGGGGACTTGATTTAAAACAACCCTTTGCACCCTGTTCGTGCCTCGCCTTGCATTTTGAAATTCAGGCGGTGCAGCATCTCCGGAAGTCAGGAAGGTGCCTTGAGAGCGAATGGTCCATAATGTGTGTTCTGATTCAAAGGCATGCCAGAGTTGGGGCAGAGGTGTATAGGCATTCCCCGGGAGGACTAGAGGATTGGGGCCACTGCCCCAGGCTCACCTTAATGGGCAGAGCTTGCCTTCAGAGCTGGGAAATATCGGGTCACGAAGGAGACTCAGACCAAAGTGACCACAGCCAGAGCTATGTTGTTGGCTTGCCCCCAGACAGAGACAGCGATCTCAGGCGTCCTCTTCAACAAGCCCTGTGGGGCAGCAGGTGCAGAAAAAAAGGCAGCGCCAAACCGATATCTCCTCGACAAGCAAGTACATGTCTTCTCCGGAAGGCTTTGAGTAATAAACAGGAGCCGCTGCTTAGTCCTGGTCTCAGACCTGGAGGTGTTTCCCAACCTTTTCTCATTTCCTACACCTTGGCTCAAAGTGAAATCACAAACCAAGCAGAAAAGGAAACAGCCCTCTCTCGTGGGGGCTGCAATGTGCTGCCGCCCACGGAAAGCTGAACTCTGGAGGTAAATGAGGTGCGTTATGTCCCTGGACCCGCAGGGCTCTGCCTGAGAACTATCAATCCCCACATCTCCCACGCTGTTGTCACCGAAGCCAACATCTAATTCCTCCTTGCTAAAGGCAGTACTCAGCCACCTTTAAGGCTCTGTTTTGAAAGTCCTCATCTCAGAAGTCCGGGGATCCTGAGATGGCCTGTGGCTAACTAAAGGGCAGGTTGTAGCACTCAGGAGCTGGGTCTCCTCCAGCTAGAGATGCAAGCCACAAACCTGATCAATATGGCCTCCAATCTCCCAGGGCTTAAACATCTCAGGCTGGACACAAACTGGAATTTGAGGCCAAGAGGGATTGAATCAAGATAGTGATCTAGATAATTCCTAACAGCCTCCCTTCCCACCCTAGAAATGATAGAAAAATTTAAAAATCCATTACAACCAGAGAATAAGAAAGGTGCCCTGGGAGACAGGCAAGGGCAGTGATCCCGCCAGAGGAAGCCATGGGGCGCAGAGGGGAAACTGCTGGCCAGTAGGAGGGGTCCCAGGAGAGTCGCTCAGGGGAAGTTGTGGGATCCTGGGATAGCAGTCAGGGTGATGGGTGGGAAGCCTCTGGGGGCGTTCTCTTCCTGGCTGTGCTCAGCAGCTGTAGGCTGGAAGTAAACAGACGCCAGGGGCTCTCAGCAGCACAGAAGGCCCTACGAGGCCCAGTGCACAGTCTAGACACTGACCGCCTGCAGATGGGCACCCCGAACCTGACACACAAAGAGGTTAGAACCACTAACCCTGGCTGGAGAGTCGGCTCACGGGTTAAGATCACTTGCAGAGGACCCAGGTTCGTTTCTCAACGGCTACATTGTGGTTCACAGCTGTCTGTACCTCCAGTCCCTGGGGAATCCGGTGGCCTTGTCTGCTTCTGCAGAAACCAAGCACACGCACTGCGTGTGCATGATACAAACACATACATGTAGGCAGAACACTCATACATAAAAAATAAATAAATCAAAATATTAGAAAAGAATCACTAGCCGGGCAGTAGTGGTGCAGGCTTTTAATCCCAGCACTCTGGAGGCAGAGGCAGGCGGATCTCTGTGAGTCTACAAGAGCTAGTTCCAGGACAGGCTCCAAAGCTACAGAGAAACCCTGTCTCGAAAGAAGAAAGAAAGAAAGAAAGAGAGAGAGAGAGAAAGAAAGAAAGAAAGGAAAGAAAGAGTCACTAACCTAAGAGAAGGGCCAGGCAGTTCAACCTGAGACACTAACACCCCAGACCTGCTGAGCCTGAATCCTCACCCCACCATCCTGTCTCCTTCCTCCTGCAGGGGTGGGGGGCTGGACTACACTTCCCAGGTTCCCTTACAAAGAGTGTGGTCATGTGAACACCTCCCCCAGGCAAGGAATACAGAGTGCCTCTTGCTCTGCTACACCCAGGGACCATTGCCAGAGTGACCCAAGAAGTTTCAGGTAGAAGGGAAGACCAGCGCCAGTCTGGGAGCACCGGTGACCTTAGGAGTTGAAGCTAAAGAGAGGGCCCTGGCCGCACGTCTCAAAGGAATCTTGGCATTTGCTTGGGCTATTTGCCCCCACAGTCTGTGCCCTGAGACAACTGAACTCACAATTAACTCAGTTTAAATTTATCTTAGGCCGGGCGGTGGTGGCGCACGCCTTTAATCCCAGCACTCGGGAGGCAGAGGCAGGCGGATCTCTGTGAGTTCGAGGCCAGCCTGGTCTACAAGAGCTAGTTCCAGGACAGGAACCAAAAGCTACGGAGAAACCCTGTCTTGAAAAATCAAAAAAAAAAATTTATCTTAGGTTAACTCTCTGAGCCTAGTCCTTGATTCTATGTCTCCTTCTTTAACACCACGGTGAGGATCACTGCCCCTCCTCCCGACTTTGGGTTTGGCAATATGGCTCCCTCTGGCACGTGGGATTGTTACCAGATGTGAAGCGGGTAAAGTTTGAGATGTTCCAGCAAGGTCAGCCTTGTTCTGTTGAATGCCAGGAAGCCACCGTGAGGAGAGAGTCTCGTGGAGGACGGTACGGGGTGGACCTGGTCTCAGGAGGAGACAGCAGACCTCAGTATCTGGGCCTGGGAGTGTGAATTTGTCCCTGTGAGTCATTTTCTGTGGCTGTCCAAGCAGCACTGTTGAGGTAACCGGTGACCAGAATCCCCGTCCTGACTAAGGCAGATGGGGCACTGGGGGAGGGTCCTAGAGCATGTAGTTTCAGCTTAGAGGTTGAGTTGTGGACGGCAGGCAGTGAGGAGGCAGAAATAGTGACACCTTGTCCTTCTTACCCTGCTGCAAACCTGTAAGATGGAGAGAGGGGATGTTGCGGGCTGTGAACCCCCAGACCCTGAATTTCCTGTAAACAACTTGTTATGCTTGCAACTGCTCTGAGCAAAACACTTTGTTTTCCTGTGCTTGCAGCTGCTCTGAGCATGAGACAGGGGAATGGTTTCTGGTGGGCTTGCAGCTGGAAAACCCCAAGAGTTGGGGCGTGGCCATTTAGTCAAGGAGATTCTATATAAGCTGCCCTGGAACACAATAAAGTGGGCGTTCTTGATTCAAGGAGACCCGTGTCTGTCTGTGTGTCTGTGTGTGTATGTGTTTCAGTCTCCAGCCCCTTGCCCAGCTCACGAACCGTGCCTTAGCACATGACACATAGGGCAGGTGCTGTGCTACAGAGGGCGGCAAGGATCAGGATGTTAACCTGTCACCTGCCCCTTGCAGAAAGTGAGGTCAGATGCAACCTCAGTACTGTGGAGTCACAGGTGGGAAGGGCCACCGTTTAACCTCCAATCCTGTAGGAGCAGACATTATTGTTCTGAGGGAAATGATGAAGACAGCTTGGTCTAGTGGAAACACTAGGCTTCCCTGGGCAAGATGGCTACACAGGGAAATTCCTGCTGCTGGGCTTGATGACCTGGGTTTGATCCCGGGACCCACACAGAGAGGGAGAGAACTGATTCCCACAAGTTGTCCTTTGGCCTCCCCATGGATGCCATGGCACTTGTGTGTGCACGAGGGCATGCAGGCACATGTGGGCGTGCACACACACACACATGCACACACACACACACACAAACTTAAGCCTGCAATAATCCTGGAGTAACCGTTAGATTACAGGGGAGAGAGTATCAGCTCACTGAACGTGTTCCCTGCTTGTTGGACAGACTCTGTGTACTTCAGTGAAGCCAGGCTACAGGCTCAGTCATCTCCCTAAGGCAGGAGAGGATGGGGGCACTCAGAGATATCTGGAGGCCAGAGGGAAGACTACTAAATGTCTATCTTCCCACTCAAAGGTGTACTTCTCATGGATCCTCTGGCTGGGCTCAGTTTCTGGTTTTGTTGTAACAGGTT